AAGATTAACAAATATAACAAATAAACTATGTTATACTTCATTTAACAAACACATTTTAATATCACTTTTATTATATCAACTAAATCAGGCATTCGTAATAACTTTTTTTTATAAATAATTATAAATATTATAATAAGTAATAACACTTCAAGTATATTTCATATCTTTATATTAACTCATTAACTATTTGTTTATTAAACAATATCATATACTCTTTTATTAAAGAATAAGGAAATGATTTACTAATTGACGTTTTTATAGTTAATTTAATTTATTAGTAAATCACGTGATAGTACGAATAAATTTTCAAAAGATTGTTTGGTGACATTCAACTAAAAATAAGAAAAAAGATTCAAAAAAAAAAAGAATAAAAAATTACTTAATATAAATAGAACAAATTTTTAATATTTGAGAATTTAAAAGGATTTTACCGATTGATCAATGTTGAAATTTAAAAAAACGAAAAAAAAGTTCAAATATAAAAAAGATATAATTTTTCAGAATGAGTTTCTTACAAGAAGAATTAGATCAATGTGTTCAATGGGTTAATCTTCATCTTGACAACGAAGAATCAATACAAAAAGTTGAACAACTCCAAGATGGAACTAAATTAATAGAAATTGTTGAAAAATTATCAGGAAAAAAAGCACCACGATATTTTCCTAATGGACAAACAGTATTTCAAATACAAGAAAACCTTAACATACTTTTAGGTCTTGTTAAAAGTTGTTATGGAAATGATGTTATGTTTGACGTGACTGAATTATCACGAGGGAATATTCAACAATTCTTAAGTTTAGTATTTTTTATTGCAAAGAAGTCAAACACAAGAATAGAAAAGAAAAGAAAATTTATTTCAAACAAGACGAGTATTAGCTCAGTGTTTGAATCTAAATTTCAAAAAGGTCTTGAACCTAACACCAACACTCATAATAATTCTGACAAACCTCTTCAAGAATTAATTCCTTCTCAAAATGAAATAAAACCAACTTCTTCTGATAACTTAGATAACCAAATAACTCTAAATGAATTACCTTTAAATGAAATACAAATTGACATCATTGTCTCACAAATGTTTTGTACTTTAAATAAAAATGAATTAATTACAAAAGATTTAAGAGAAAAAAGAATAAATAAACTTGAAAAAGAGAAATTATCGAAAATTTGTGAAGAAGTGGAAATTCAAGATGTTCTAGAATTTAAGAAATTAAATATTTCATTAGACTATGAAAAAGGTATCAATATGACGGAACATAATCAAATTAATACCCCTCAAATTGAAAACCAAATAGATGATTACGATAAAGATGTCCATAAAGATAATCCTCTTGTTGAGAAAGAGGTTTTAAATGATTCAACAGCTCAAACAAATACCTTAACACTTGAAGAAAAATTAAATAAGGATAATAAACAAGAAATAAATGTCATACCTTTCTCTCAACCACTTACAGAAACTACAACAATAGACACTTCATATAAAACTGAAGCTATTCAAGAAGATAGTACAAAAGAAAGTAATAAATTTACTCCTACAGAAAGTCTTACTTCATCATCAGAAGATATAACATCACAACCAGAAGATATTAATGATAATGATCTAATCACCTATCAAGAAAAAGAAAACCAACAAGAAGGTCAACAAAAACTAGAACCTATTCCCCTAGAATGTTTGGAACCAAATCAACAAGAAATAAAAAATGAGAAAATAAATGAAGAACTTGATCCTAGTCAAAACCACTATGAACTAACTCAAAAAGAAATAGAAAAAGAAAAAGAAGAGTCAGCACAAACTCAAGTAGAAATAGAAACTGATAAACCAAAAGAAGAAGAACCAGAGAAAGAAGAAAAAGAAGATGGATTGATTGAAGAAGAAAGAAAACAACTAACTCAACAAGAGCAAGAAGAATCAACCAAAGAAGAATTAGAACAAACTCAAGTAGAACTAGAAAATGAAAAGCAAAAAGAAGATAGAATAACTCAAGAAGAAGAACCAATCCAACAAGAAATAGAAAATGAAAGACTAAAAGAAGAAAATACAATAACACAAAAAGACCCTGGAGTAATTCAAGAAAAGACAAAACCAAATCAAGAAAATACAGAAATAGAAAATACAAAACCAACAGAAGAAATAGAACTAACTCAACAAGAAGAAAGCCAAGAATCAAAAACAACTGAAGAACCAATACCAATTCAAACAGAAATAGAAAATGAGAAAGCAAAAGAAAAAACAGAAGAAAAGCGATGGAACGAAAAAGAATATGATATAAATGCAGTAAAAGAGATTCAACGAAGAATTAGTGGACATTTAAGTAGAATATCAAGTTATTCAACAATGAGATTATTAACTCAAAGAAAGAATATTGTTAAGGAATTAATTAGTACAGAAGAAATTTATATTAACCGATTACGACAATTTCTGGACTACTATTTAAAAGCAGCTATAGAATTATTACCAAATGACAAGTTATTAAAAAAATGTAAAGAAGATATAATAGTTATATTAGGATATAACAATATGATTTATACTAACTTAACTGATCTTCAAAAGAAAGGATATTACTATGGACAAGGTATTGGAAGTGTATTTCAGAAATTAGCACATTTTCTTAAAACATATTGTAGTTATGTTAATAGTACAGATGCTATAACTGAACATGAAAATAAATTAAGAAAATCAAATAAACAATTTGAAAGTATGATTAATAACATTAGAAAAACTCATAAAATGGAATCATTTAATTCTTATGTTATTCTTCCTATTCAACGTATTCCTAGATATAGACTATTATTAAAAGAACTTATGAAAACAGTTCCACAACAACACAATGAATATAAAGAATTATATGATTCATTACAAAGAATAACAGAAGTTGGAATTATAGTAAATGAAAATAAAAGAAAAATGGAAAATCAACACATTACTGTTCAACTTTTAAGTAAATTTAAATATCCACAAGGTACTAACCCAATTGAATTAAAAGGATCTACAACATTTGTAAAATTTGGAGTATTAACATTATATGATCCTGAAACAAAACCTAAAAATCGAAATGTCAATGTCTTTTTGTTTAATGATAACTTGGTTATTGCAAAAATATTAACAACTGGTACTTTGCATAAAGGAGAATTAATTCCTGAAACATTAGAACCTATTCTTGAATCTAAAAAACAATTAAATGTAGAATTAGTTATTCCTTTTGAACGATTTACTGTTGTTGATTGGGTTGATATTGAAGGGTCACCAGCTTTTGGTCTTATCACTGATTCTGGAGAAACATTAAGATTTTCTTGTTCAAATAAAGAAACAAAAATGAACTGGTGTACTGAATTAGATACTCAAATTTCACAAACTCAAGAACAAACATTAGTTGCAATTACTCGTTCAAACCCTGAATTAATTTCTCAATATAAACAAAGCATTTCAATAAACGATAAAGAGCATTTAAAGAAAATTGTATGGCAAGGAGATGTCGGAGACAATGACCAATATTTAATATTAACTGGAAATTATTTAGTATTATTTAATACTGTTATGGACGCTTATAAAAAAACTTCTCCTATTTCACTTTATTTAACTCAATGTCTTTCCGTTATATTTGAACCCCCAACGTCATTTTCTATAATTAATTATTGTGATGATAATAAAGTAAAAACTACATTTAAAACTACGTCAACAGCAGCAGCATTATTATGGGTATTTTATATCCGACAATCATTTATCAAACAACATGGATTTGATAAAACCAAACCTGAAATATTTAAAGAGGAAGAGGTTACTTTCCAATTAAATTCACGTGATATTATATATGGATTAATACAAAATAAATATAATAAAAAATGTGCAGATTGTAGAACTACACCAATACATTATGTTGATATGGATTTTGGATGTTTCTTGTGTTTAAAATGTGGAATGGTACATAAAAACTTTTCAAAGAAATTAGGTATTTGTAAAATAGAAGATATACAAAAACACTCAATAAAAGATATACAAAATCTCATTTCATTAGGAAATGCCTTTGGAAATATTGAAAGGATTGAATCATGTGAAGATACTTCAGAAGAAAAGACAAACCTTGGAGATAAAAATCAATATCTTTTAAAAAAATATGGTATAGAAGGATATGTCCATAAAGGTCTTGTAGCTGATTCACAAAGAAAGTCTCATGTATTAAAATTAGATGAAACATCCGAGAAAGAAGAAATTGATTCAGATAGTCAGAAATCTTCTGTAACTAATTTAGAACAAACAGACTCACCTGATAATGATAGGAAAAGCAAAAAAAAGAAATCAGGTGAAAAGAAAGAAAAGAAAGCAAATATTTCGGATAAAAAGCGAAAACGATCAATTTTCTAATCACTTCAATTAAAATGATATTTTTATAACAATTTTTTATATTAATTTTTAAATTTAAAAAAAAAGAAAATAAAAAAACTAAACAATAGTTTTATTAATATTATTTTTCCATTTTTTCTTTAAATTAGAATTTCAGAAATATTTTTAATAAAAAAGTTTAAGTAAATTATTCTTTTTTTTTATATGAATAAATAATATGAAATTCCTTAGTATCTTTCATTATAATTTTAGTACATGACATTTTTATTTTTTATTTATTTTTGAATAACAAGAAGATGTAAATAAAATAAAAAGAATTTCATAAAAGAATTTTTATTTTGGAGAATATTTTTATTTCATTTGAAGAACTTAAATATCTCAGTATAAAATATAATGTTCAAAGGTAAATTCTCTAAGAAAAGAAATTCTACTTCTAATGAACCACTTACTTGTTCTGACAGTAAAATGCCATCTATTAGTTCACCAACAGAAAAACCAAAGAAGAAAAGAAAGGCATCTGTTGGGTCAGTTTTTAAAGGAATAGGTGAAGCTTTAACATTTGAAAAAGAAAAAACAGCAGAAGAAAAAGCAAAAGAAGAGCAAGAAAATTTAATGGTTCTTCAATTATTTAAACAAAATTTAGAATGTTTTGAAAAATCATCAGAACCAGTATTATTATGTGAATCATTAACAGGTTATAAAAGAATGAATAAAGCTAAAATTACCAAAAGAGATTTAGTATTTGCTATGTGTGGAGAACCTGTTTATAAAAGTACAATTAAAATTGATTGTTGGAGTACATTAAAAATGCCAATTGATTCTTATTCAACAAAACAAAAAAGAAAATGTTTAATTCCATTAGATATTGAAAAAGATGGATATTGTATTGAATGTGATGAATCAAGTATAGAACAAAAAACAGAATTAAAAAATATGACAATTGTTGATTTTGAATCTGAATTTCCTTTTTATAAGGAATTTTTCTATAGAAATCCTAATGTTAAACATTATTTATCTAAAGAAGAAAATGTTATTTGTTCTATTCAAAGATTTAAAGAGGTATCTCGTTGTATATTAAGAAATAATAAAGGAGTTATTCGTTGTCTTATTGGAAAAGAAGAATCTGAAAAACCTCAATGTTACGATAAATTCTTTAATGATCCAAAAAATGTTATTTGTTTAGATAATACACCTGAACTTGATGATGCTTTATTTGAAATGGAAAATAAATCAATTATTACCCATTTTAAATTTGGAGTAATTTATGTTAAACCTAACCAAAACGATGAAAATAATATTTTTACAACTAGTGCTAATGATTGTTCACCTGCTTTCTGGAAATTTTTAGATTTAATTGGAAATAAAATTGAATTAAATGGTTGGACTGGTTATAGAGGTGGGTTGGATGTCAAAAGTGGTAGTACAGGAACTCATAGCTATATCTCTCATACTCATAACTTCGAAATTATGTTTCATGTTTCATCTTTAATTCCATTATTACAAGATGATGGACAAGGACTTGAAAGAAAACGACATGTAGGTAATGATGTTGTTGTATTAATTTTTAAAGAACAAAGTAATCAAAATGATACATTTGATCCAAGAATATTAACTAGTCATTTCAATAGTATTTTTATTGTTGTAACACCAGATAAACCAACTATTGACAATATACATTATAGAGTAACTGTTTGTGCAAAAGGTGAAATTAACTCTTTCCCTCCATACCTCAATGAAACAGGAACATACTTCCATGATGATATTTTTAGAGATTTTATATTAAGAAAATTAATAAATGGTGAAAGAACTGCTATGTTCTCCCCAACATTCAGACTAAATTATAAAAAAACAATCAAAGAAGAAATTAAAAACATAAATGAACAATTCTATAAACAAGACCTATTTGCTGCGTTGAAGTAATTTATATTTTATGGTTTATTTAGTTCATGGATTTTTGGGATAAAATCTTTTCGTATTCTGAGTAGATTGTATCTAATCATCCCAATAAATATTTAATACTTTTTGGAGAGTATTCTTCTGTGTCAGTTAAAAAAGAGATGAACCCAAATATCAATCCATTTTTCACATTTGATATAACCAATGAAATGACACCAGTCTCAGTACAACTCTGCCAATCTTTCCAAAATAATTCCTCTACTCAAAAAGAATTAAGAGGAATTATTGAAGATATAAATCAACTTGATGAGCTTATAAATAAAAATCAAAGTATATTAACATCACTTCACAAAAAGTTGCTTACCTGAAACTAAGCAAAAACAAACCTCACCTTTTTCTAGCAAGTCATTCAATATATTCAAACAGAACAACATGAATAGACTGGTTTGGTATTTTTAGAATAATCTATTTATAATTTTAAAAAGTGAAGTTTTTTTTTTAAATTTTTTAATTAGGTGAGAAGCCCGAATTGAAGGGAATAAAAAGAAGAATATACAAGAAAATAAAAAGAACTAAAAAAAAGGGAAGAAATAGAAGAATTAATAAAAAATATAAATAAAAATAATAAGAAGAAAAGAAGAAAAAAAAAGAAAAAAATATAATAAATATATAAAAAGAATCTAATAAAAACTAAAAAATTCACTTTAAAAGAAATAAATATGACTGCCAATACATATAAATTAGTTATGCTTGGGGGAGGTGCTGTTGGAAAATCTGCTATAACTGTTCAATTAGTATCAGGACATTTTGTTCAAATTTATGATCCAACTATTGAAGATTCTTATAGAACATCCATTTCTGTTGATGGAGAAATGGTTTCTCTTGATATTTTGGATACTGCAGGTCAAGAAGAATATTCTGCCTTAAGAGATCAGTACATGCGTTCAGGTGATGGATATGTTATTGTATATTCCATTACATCAACTACATCTTTCTTAGAGGCTAATGGATTTAGAGAACAATTATATCGTGTTCTTGATAAAGATGTATCAGAACATGTTTCAATTGCTCTTTGTGGAAACAAATGTGATTTAGAAAGTGAAAGACAAGTCCAAGCTAATGAAGCTAAAAACTTAGCTGAACAATGGAAAGTATTATTCTTTGAAACTTCTGCTAAAGCTAAAATTAATATTACTGAAACTTTCCAAGCTTTAGTTAAAGATATCAAAGCAAATAGAGCAGCTACAGAACCAACTGCTACAACCGCAGAAGCTAATGATTCAAAAGGAAAGAAGGATAAAAAAGAAAAGAAAGAAAAGAAATGCATAATGTTCTAAAGACTTAGTTCTCTCATCTGATGAAGATGAGTTTTTATAATAACTCTTTAAAGTTTTTTATATCTTATTGTTGTTGTTTTAGAATTAGATAAATGAAAGAATAGAGAATTCTTGCTTTATTGACCAAAACATCAAACTGAATTTATCGATTTTATTAATTTAAACTAGTTTTTATAATAATAAATTAAATTATATAAAACCCTATCCTAAAAAACAGTCCATTATGTCTTTGTGGGATAATACTGCATTCTCTTCCGTTGTTAAAGAAACAAATAATAAACAAGAAAGTGTTAATGATAAAGAAGATGAAACAAAAAGGAAAGAAGTTCAAATGGAAGAAGAAAGTGAAGAAGAAAGTATGAATAAAGAAGAAGTTTCAACAAAAGAAGAAATTAGTGAGGATGATATAAGCAATGAAGGTGATGAAGAGAGTAGTAAGGATGATATAAGTAATGAAGATAATGATATGAGTAATGAGGATAATGATATAAGTAATGAAGACAATGATATAAGTAGCGAGGGTGATGATATAAGTAATGAAGATAATGACATAAGTAGTGAAGATGATGAAGAAGGAGAAGAACAAGATTCAAAACTAAAAGAAGGTGGTGATGATAGTGAAGAGGATGTTGATGCTAAAGAGATTGTTTTAGGGGGTGTCCCACAAAAAGAAAGTGATAAAGAAGAATCATCAGAGGAGGATGAAAAACCAAAGTATAAAAGTAAAAAAGAAAGAAAAGAATTAAGTTTAATAACTCACACTAAAGAAGCAGATAGAACTGTGTTTATTGCAAATATTAATATTAAAGTTAAACCAGCTCAAATGAAAAAATTTTTAAAACAGTTTGGTAAATTAGAATCATACAGATTTCGTGGTGGTGCATTTATCCAGGATGAAAAATCAAAGAAGGTACATTTCTTAAAGAAAGAATATGATACAAAAGTAAGAAAAACACAAAATTGTTATGCTGTTTATTCTACACCAGAAGAAGCAGAAAAAGCTGCCAAAGAAATTAATGGAAAAGAATTTTTAGGATATCACTTAAGAGCTGATTGGGAAGTTAATAAAGGAATGAAAAGAAATATTCGGAAAACAATATTTGTTGGTAATTTACCATTTAAAATGGAAGAAGAACAATTAAGACATTTCTTTAGCAAAGTTGGAGAAATAGAATCTGTTAAAATTGTTAGAGAATCTAAATCAGGTATGGGAAGAGGTATTGGTTTTGTTACATTTACAAATAAAGAAGATGTACAAAAGGGGCTTAATATGGTTGGAGAAAAAATTAAAGGAAGACAAATTAGAGTTGAACCGTGTTATAAAAATTATGACAAAATTAAACAAAAGAAAGCTGAAAGAATTGCTAAGGCATTAGAAATGAAAAAAGAAAGAAAAAGAGTATATAAAGAGAGAGTTAAAGCAAATATGGGGAAGTTGGAAAAACAAAAGCAAGAAAAGAAACCAACAAAAAAAGTACATTCAAAACAATAAAATAAAAAGGTAATTCAAAGGATTATTTAAAAAATTAAAGGCAAGTAATTTGATTGATTTTTATATCAGTTATACAATAGATTTTCTTTAAGTAAAAGGGAAGAGGTTAATACACACTTTTAATATTGGTTATTGAAAAAAGAAGTTTCCTTTTTTGATGATTCATTCATTAAATAAACATATTAGAAATAATATCAAAATTTATTATTTCTTAGTTAAAGATTAATAGAAAAAAAGTGAATAAAAAGAAGCTTCATTCGAGAAATTTCGATTAAGTAAGTGAGATCTAGGATGTCTATTAAATCGGGAAATTAGGGTTTTTAGAGAAACTTAAAAAAAAAAAGAAAGAACTTAGAACTTAGTAAAACCAAAAAACAGTATGGGAAGTTGGTTAAGTAAATTACTTGGAAAGAAAGAAATGAGAATTTTGATGGTAGGACTTGATGCTGCCGGTAAAACTTCAATTCTTTATAAATTGAAACTTGGAGAAATTGTCACTACTATTCCAACTATTGGATTTAATGTAGAAACTGTTGAATATAAGAATATTTCCTTTACTGTTTGGGATGTAGGAGGACAAGATAAAATTAGACCATTATGGAGACATTATTATCAAAATACTCAAGCAATTATTTTTGTAGTTGATTCTAATGATAGAGATCGTATTGGAGAAGCACGTGAAGAATTAATGAAAATGTTAAATGAAGATGAAATGAGAAATGCTATTTTGCTTGTTTTTGCTAACAAACATGATTTACCACAAGCTATGTCTATTTCTGAAGTTACAGAAAAACTTGGATTACAAACAATTAAGAATCGTAAATGGTATTGTCAAACATCATGTGCAACTAATGGAGATGGACTTTATGAAGGTCTTGATTGGCTTGCTGATAATCTCAAATAATTTTGATATTTCTTTTCTCTTCTTTTCTTTGTATTTATTATTTTAATTATTTATTATAATTTTTCTGTAAGTTTTGATTAGAAAAAGATTTAATTATTTAGAACTATCATTCTACACAAAAAAAAATAATTTAACTTTAAAACATAAAATATCACTCAAAAGATAATTTAGTTTTCTTTGACTTCTTCTACTGGATAAATTGTCATAAGTTTCTCAAAGGTGGTAGTTGGATGGAGTTGAGTAAGGGCATGTACTGTTTCAACTAATTTGTCAATTGGAATTCTAATTTGTTTTGTAGTGTCTCTGTCTCTAAGAGTGACAGTATTATCTGAGAGAGATGTATAATCAACTGTGACATCGAATGGAATACCAGCTTCATCAGCTTGGGCATATTTCTTACCAATAGCAACTGCAGTAGTATTAGATTTGAATGAAAGGAAACCATTCTTACAAATCTTTTCAATTTCTGCTACTTTGTTATTAAATTCTGGTTTAGTTAAGAGTGGGAATAAACCAACTTTAACTGGAGCAATAGAAGCAGGAATTGATAAAACAGATTTAGCTTCATTATCTTCTCTAACCCAGAATGAATGTTCAAGAACAGCTGTTAATACACGTCCAACACCAAAAGATGGTTCAATAACATTTGGAATAATATTATCACCATACACTTTCTTTGTTCCAATTTTAATAGTAATATTAGCTTTTTCAATTTCAAAGTTAATGCCATCAACTGTAACTTTCCACATTCCAGTTTCTTCAACTTCTTTGGCAACTGCTTCTTTAGCAGCTTCATCTAAACCAGCTGCATAAGCAAATAACTTTTGAGAATCTTTCTTATATTTCTTTCCCATAACTCCTTTATTGAAAGAAAGAGTAACTTCTTTAACTTCTTTTGGTTCATCGTAAGCAATAAATACAGATTGGTCAACCTTAGAACAACGAGCATGATTAGATAAATCAAAATCTCCTCTATCAGCATGACCAACACATTCAACCCAACCATATGATAATCTAATTTCAGCATCCCAACAATCTCTAGCATAATGTGCCATCTCTGTTTTTAAATGTTGTCTAAATCTAATATGCTCAGTTGGAATTCCAAGTTCAGTTAAGAATTTAAATGTTCTTCCCATGAAATAAGCTAATAATTGTGAATTAATAATTCCATCATTAACAGCTTTACCAAGAGTAATGTATTCAGCTTCTTTGTCTTCAAGTTGAAGTTCTCTTGGATATAATTGAACAGAAAGATTTTCAACATCAGAGAAATTAGGATGAGTCTTTTTATCTGGTAAGACAAAATATTCAATTTCTGCAAGTGTAAATTCACGGACACGTAATAAACCATTTCTTGGAGCAATTTCATTTCTAAAAACATTACCAATTTGAGTTACACCAAATGGTACTTTTCCTCCATTAAATTCAAGATTTCTTTTAAACATAGTAAATATTCCTTGTGCTGTTTCTGGTCTTAAAAAGGCTTTAAGGTCTCCAGCTGGTCCAATATCAGTTGCAAACATTAAATTAAAAGCTAATGGCTCTGAAAGATCATTACCTGTATCTGGTGCTTTAATTCCATTTCTTTTAATAGCAGCAGAAAGTTCTTCAGGAGTTAAATTATCTACAAGTTTCATTTCAGCGTCATAGACAGCTTTTTGTTCTGCAGAAGTAGCTGGATCTTCCATTTTATTTTCATAGAACGTTTTAAGTAAATGATCAGCTCTATAACAACACCCATTTTTTAAATCTTTAACCATATAATCACTGAATTTAGCAGTATGTCCTGATGCTGCTAAAACACATTTTGGTGTTAAAATTGGTCCTTCAACTTCAAAGAAATTTTCATATGTAGTAAAATGTTTTCTCCAAAATTGAAGTATATTTTGTTTTAAAGCACATCCAAGAGGTCCCATATCATATAAACCAGCAATACCACCATAAATTTCATATGACTGAATAACCATATTTCTTTGTTTAAGAATTTCATCTAATTTAGCTTTGTTAATAAGAAGTTTTTCTTTATTAAATTTGGTAGCTGGTCTTTGCATATTGTTTTTGAAAACCCTTTAGTTCTTTTCTTAGTTCATTCTTAATTCTATAAAAAAAAAAAGAACATTTTATTCCTTTTACGAGGCACAACGAAGTGCCAACTTTTTTTATCTTTTTTATTTTTTTTTTACTCTTTCCTTTTTTGTATTATTTTTAAACCCTTTTTGTTATTTTAATTTTATGTTTTTCATTTTAATAAATAACAATTTTTATTAAAATAACAAAAAATTAGTTTTTCTTTTTGAATTACTTGAAAGAATTTAAGACACAACAGAACCTTTGTCTTGTTCTTCTCTTTTTTTTATTATTTAATTATTTAAGAAATAAATATTTTATTAAAATGAAATGACTTCTTGATTCTATTCAGAATTAAGCCAATACAGAAGATAATAGATTTCAAAACTTGTGTTTTGAATAATAAAAAAAATTACAAGGGGATATACAAAAAAGGAATCTAGTATTTAATAAAAACTTAAAAGTATTAAATGATATAAAAAAGATGGAATTAATTAATGATTATTCTAAAGAGTCTATTGAAGAGGTTGAAGAAAAACAAATTAAGAGAAGAAAGCCAAGAAGAAAAGTAATAAGTATTGATGAAATTAGAATGAGAAAAAGACACAATAGAGATTCAGCAAATCATAATGACTATGGAAATGAAGGATTTTTGTTAATGATTTTTTATTATTTAGGTTGTACACTAACACTAAGAAAAATAAAAAAAGAAGGAAAGAATCAAAAATTAAAAATAGAAAGTATTAAATATGAAGATATAGAAATACTTTCTCGAGAAGTTATTGAAAAAGATATTGAAGATTCTAAACTATTAAATAACTCTAATGAAAAAACAAGAACAAAAAGAATTATGGTAAATATTATTATTGACAATACTATGTTAGATATTCTTAAAAATCAGTTTGGATTTGTCTTTGACCAAACTGTAAAGAAGAAACCTGAAAAAGAATTTATGCCACAAAGATGGATTTTAGCACATATTAAACTTGAAAAAGATTGGACAATGAAAGAAATTATAGAAGAAGGGTCTAAATTTTATAATAATATTAAGCTTTTTGGAAAAGATAAAGAAGTTATTCAATTATCTAAAGATATAGTATCTAAACATATTGAAAAAATACTTCAAAAAACAAAATCTATAGATAATACCAATGAATCAGAAAGTTATTATCTCTCAGTTTAATTAGAGAGATAGAAATTTTGTAAGTAGTTATTTCTTTTTTATCTATATTTAACAAATTATTTTATTTATTCTGTTCATTTTGATAAAACAAACATAAGTAATAATTTTAAGTATATAGCTGTTAATAAAAAAGTAAAACATAAATTAACTTTATTATAACAATGAATTTGAATTATTACAATAATAGAAATAAATGAAAAAACTTTATATTGAATCAGTTAAACTAACTATACTTTCATTAATTATTGTAATACAATTTCCTTTAATAATTTCATTTTGACAACTAAACTCATCTTCAAATGATAATTCATCTGATAACGGATTTACTGGTCTATCAATAGTTATATTCTTTTTTTGAATATAATCTTCTATATATGAATAATCTTCAACAATATTGTTACTCTCTTTAGAAAAACATAGTGTTGATATTGCCTTAAAAGGCAGAGGTCTAATGATGTTTTGCATTTTGTTAATTGTATATGTAATTTTCATTTTAGTTCAATCTTAAATAGTCCTTACATTATTAAATAAAAAAAAAATAATTTTCTTTCAAATTGTTGATATTTTCTAATTTAACAAATTACCCACTTTATTCCTTTTACATAACTTATTCTTTAAATTGAAAATTCAATTAACTTTCAATCGACTTCTAATGAAAATTCTTTCTTCGTTCTAACTAGTACAAGACAACCATAAAAGTATCATAGAAATTTGTTCCAAAAAGATATTAAGAACAATAATATTTTAATAATTTAATAAGATTTCTTAATAGAAAGAAAAAGTAAAAACAGAAAAATAGAAGTGCTTTAAAAAAAAATAAAAAAATTAGAAATAAAACCAAAAATTAAATTAATAACAATTTTAAATATAAATTAATATTTATAACAAAAATATAAATCAATTATTTTTTGTTATTATCATGTTTCATTAATTTTTTCAAAGTATAGCACATCCAATCTAATCCATCCATTAATCCTTCTCCTGTATAAGCAGAACAAGGGAATATTTGACAACGACTTTTTTGAAGTTCAGTAAGAGCCAATTTATCTGCAAAAGAAGGGTCATATGGCTTAAGATCTATTTTGTTTACATAAATAATAAAAGGCATTCCTTTTAAATCATTATCAGCGAGCATATTTAATAGTGCTGTTTTACTTTCATCAAAACGATCGTTATCAGTATTATCAAAAACATAAGCAATACATTTTACATTAGGATAATATGACTTCCATAAACCTCTAAACTTTGCAGCACCAGATACATCCCAAAATAACCATTCATATGTTTTGTATTTAAGAGAAGGATTTAAATATCCTATTGTTGGTTTAATTTCCATTGACTTTGGATCAGTTCCTTGCATTTTAAGAACAAGAGCAGTTTTTCCAGCACCATCTAATCCACAAATTAAAATATTCATTTGTTTCTTTTTAAAGAGGAATGATAAAAAAGACATTTTCTTTACTTTAGAATCTCTATCTAAACTATTTTTTAGTTTTTTTTTCTTGTTAATTTTTTTTTTTAATTCCTTCCAAAACTTTTTTTTTTGAAACCAAAAGAAATAATTAGATGGATTGTTTATTTATAATAACCAATATATATTACTTACATTTTCTAATTAGAATAATATTGTGCATTTGCTTGTTGTGTTGCAAAATATAACTTTTTTACTAGCTCAGTTAAAACTGTTTTATCATACCGAAAATCATCTTTAACAAGAGAATTTTGAATTTCTAAACATCTTGAAAGGTTTTCTTGAAGCATTTCAAGAGAAATTTTAAGTATTTTGCAGTCATGAATTCCTAATGCTAAACCTTGATTAATGTGATTTCTAATGTGATCTTCTTGTAAATTTTCTTCTACTTTTTCATCATCCATTAAACATTCTTTTAATTGATTTTTAAGTGTTTCAGATTCATATTTAATAGCCAGCCATTGAATAAAAGAATGAATATAAGAACTAGGATTAACAAGAATAGAATCAGAAAAAAGATGAGAAGCGTCTAATAATCTTTTTATTTTTAAAACAATTTCCCAACGATGAACAGGACTTGAAGAAGTAATAGAATTGAGATAATTTATAACATGAGGAATTAATAATAAAGAATCTTGTGAATACAAAGTATGAATAAATTCAAAATCATCATCACACCAATCATATTCATGTTCAAATAAAAAATTAAAATTTAAAACATCTTTATTTTCAATGGAAATATGAATACATTGTTGTTTTTTTTTATTTTCAATAAACATATCAGCACCATTATTAAGAAGTAATTCTGTTAAAGAAACATCCTCTTTTTTCTTTAATAATAAATGTAAACATGTATTTCCATCTTTATCTTGTTGATTAATATTTGTAATTCTAATAAATAAACTTAAAAATAATACTTTTTTTAATTCAACTGAAATATCTGATATACTTAGATAATGTAATGCATTTCTTCTTGTTTTTGGATGAATTGTTTCAGATAAATTATCAATATTTAAACTTAATAACATTAATGCACAATCAGCTCTATTTGACTCTAGTGCTACCATTAATGGAGTTTCACCAGCACTATTTAATTTAACAATATGGATTGGAGTAGTTACGTTATTTAGTAGTAATTTTTTTCTACAATAAATTTCCATAATTTCTGAATTACCGTTACGAGATATTTCATGTAATAATGTATTTCCATTTGTTATTAAAATATCATTTTCAAAATTACTTCTATCTAATAAATTTTCAAATAATAATGAATTTTGTTCTTGGATAGAATTAATAATAGAATTAATGTCTGTATATTCTTGAATTGAAAAATGAATATTATATTGTTCTTTATTAATTTTAATGTATTCGTAATTAAATATTTTACCTTTTTTTACAAAATCAAATATTATTTTTCTTAATTCTGACTCTGGTGGATCTTCTAATACAAAGTCATATACACTTCCTGTTACACATTTTATAAATGGATCTGCTCCTAATGGTAATAAGTATTTAACCATATTTATATTATTTTTTTTAACTGCACGATATAATGGTGTTTCTTTTGAAAGATTTAATGAATTAATATTTGCTCCATTCTTTAAACATTGAATAATACATTTTTCTACTTCACTAGTTAAGGGTTTTTGTACAATATAATGTAATGGTGTGTTCATATCATCATTCCAATCAAATAAATTATAAAATGGATAATTAATTAATAATGAAAGAAATTCTACTTTATCTTCATAAATTGCATGATGAACAACACTCCATCCTCTAAAATCTCTAATAAACACATCTGGTGATTTAGTTAATAATGTTTTAAATAATTCAATGGAAGGATTTTTACAAGCAACCATTAAAGGAGTGAGTCCAGTTTTAGGATCAATGTAATTGATATAATTTTCATTTTGACTTAATATTTTAATTGTATGACTTATTTTTTTTGACCTTAAATTAGCTGATAATGTTCTTGAAGATAATCCAATAAATTTATTATTATACATTAATTCTAAACTTTCATACTTCTTTCCAAAATATTGAAATGGTGCTTTTGGAATAATTGGTCTAAACTTATCTTTATATATTTTTTTTCTTGCTTTACATGAATCTTTTAACCGTTTTAATATTTCTGATAATCCAATTGATGGTAATTTTTGAATAAATGTTTGTTCTAATACATTTCCATGAGAAATAAATATTTTTGAAAGAGAATAACAAACCTTTTGAAACTGTTCTTCAGGAATAATGTAATGACTTTCATTTTGATATTTTGTACAGATAACATTTAAAAAAAGAGTAGTTATTTTAATATGTTGAAAAGTAATAAAATCATTAAATAATGAAAAATAGCCTGATGATATTTGTGTATTTAATGAAATATTTCTTAATAAATAAATACAAATATTTATAATAAATAATTGTTTTGAAGTTACTTGTTCAAGCATACCAAAAAATAATGGTGAAGATAAAAATGGTGTAATTACTGATTCTTGAATAAGATAAAGTAAAAATGAATTCATAGAACTTGGATATCCATTAATTATTTTAAGTCTTAATGTATAGAAAAGAAATCCAATTTGAGGTGGAAAACGATCAACTGATTGTATAAATGAATTAACTATCATTTCTAATTTATCGATAATAAATTGTATTAAAGTGTTTAATTGAGAAATAGGTATTTGTGATAAGTCAGGTTTAATAAATAAATTTTTTACTTCATTTGATTCAATACTTTTAAATTTTAATTGACTCATTTCTTTTTGTTTTAATTCTTTATTTTCTACTAATAAAGATTTTATTGGTTCTTCTTCTTTTCTTTGTAAACTCTCAAAGAACGGTGTAAATATGGTTTGAAGATATTCAACTAAATTTGAACAAGTTAAATAAACAGTAAAACAGTTATATGACCAAAAATTTTTTCTAATAACAAATAATAAATTGTCATTTCCATTTATCCATTGTTCAAATAATCTATTCATAAACATTAGTGTTTTATTTTTTCCTTCAAAAAAACAAAGTAAATCTCTTATAAATGAAATACTTGTTCCTTCACTTTGTGTTGTTTCATACATCTTTCTAATAACTTTCATAGACCCTTTAGAACATAGTATTTGTTCTAAAAGATCACTAAGTGATAAATTCTCTTCACTCATTAAACTACTTAAATTAAGTAATTGTAAAATAAATAAAATGAAGATGAATTTAACTTTCTATTTTTTATTTTTAATATATTAAATATATTAAATTCAATAAAATTAAAAAATTTATTCACTATATACTTATTGATCTTTACCAGAGAATAATATTATTTATTTTACTTTAACTATTTCTTTTATTTTTGTAAAAGTTTGTTATACTTTTGAAATTTAAAATTTAATAATTTAAGAATTTATTAAATATCTTCCTCTTTCCCTCATTTAACAGGATCCACATTTTGCACAAACAGTGTCTGATAATTCATGTGCCATAATAGCATCAACGATTTTATCCATTCCATATGCATTCCAGTCATCACAAACATCTTTAGCTTCGTCAGTTGCAATTGAACAAAGTTCGTCAATAAAATCTTCTACAGCAGCTCTTCCTTTCTTAGCTTGAAGTTGTTCAATTTGGGAAATAATAGTCTTACAGAATGCACAACTTGCAGTATCAGCAGCAAAGGCAATAGCAAAAATGAAAAGTAAACAAATGAAAGCTTTCATAATGGATGTAATAATTTTTTTAGAGATGAGAGTTGAAGAATAATAAGTGCTTGAAAATTCAAATAATAACGATTATTCTTTTCATTTAAAGAAAGAAGAAGAAAGAAGAAAGAGGAATTTTCTAATTATTTATTTATATCTTAAAATTAAAAATGATATTTTAATAATAAATTTATTATTAAAAACTAAATTATTAAATTATCACTACTGTTCACTAAAGTTATCTAACAAATCTCTAATTGTTGAATTAATATCTATTTCATCAGAACGAGAAGTCATATAGAAAAGGTCTTGTGAGTAATAATTTAATTTTGTTCTTAAGAGTTGATATTGTTGCATATCAACTAATTTCTTTTCTTTAATAATGAGTTCTCTTAACTGAGTTAAACCTTCATATGATATATTTGGTTTATTAACACATGGTTTACTATCATTACTTGGTAATATAAGAGTAGGAATTAATGGTTGATATTTAGAATTATCAAATGATTCATCAGGAATAAATGATGGAAGGAAAATCCAAGAATGAACATCAATTGAACAATCTGGTATAAGTTGTAACATATCAAATAATTGTAGTCCACTTAAAACAGACATAGACCCTTTGTCAAATGGTAAATTAAATATAGTTATTAATTCATTTAATATTGTTGGCATCTTTTTCTTTAATTTATTAAAAGAACATTTAAGTAACATAACTCTTAATAATAAAAATCCACAACTATGTAATATTTCTGATGGGTATTGTTTAATTGAATCAATCAATCTATCTAATATATTTTCAATTAATGATTGATTTTGATCTATAAAATTATCAAATGCTTCTTTTTCTCCACAATAAATTACAAATGCAATTCTTTTAAATATTTTTGCTCTTAAAATTGATTCATTTTCTTTATTAACAAGGAGTCCTTGTCCTAATATTCCTTTATTAATACTTGAAATGAAATCAAATAATAATTTAGCATTATTACTAGAAAATACTGAATAAATCGGTGCTTTCCATAATGTTAAAAGATTACTTGATTTATTAAAGAATTCATCATTATTAAATCCATTAAGTATAATTTTACTCCATTTATTATTTAATTGATTTCTTTTTGCTAGTTCATTTAAAATATTTAAAGATGAGACATTAATTCCCATATCACTTCCAGGTTGTGTTAAATTGTGTTCAAATTGTTTACCTAAATCAATAATATTTCCTATTGGATTTTCATCAAATGCCATTGTAATAATTGGAATAATATCATCAATAACAATATTTAATAAATCTGATGAAATATATAATGAGTTATTTATTATAGATAAGGGATTATCTTCTGTTATATTTTTTGATGAATCTTTACTATCATAACTTGATGCAAAAGTAACACCTAAACTAGAAGATGACGGTGTATTTGAAGAAAGACTTTTTTGTCTATTTCTTAGTTTTATAGGTTGACCACCTTCTTTCCAGCGTTGAACAATTGCCATGTATTTATTTAATATTGAATTAATAATTTCTTCCCATCCATTTCCTAATTTATTTTGGTTTTTAATATCAAGTTGATTAATGACATCAAGGAATAATTTAATAGTATGTATAATGACAAACACCATTTCATCATTTACCATATGATGATTAATTAATGATTGAATATACATTTGTGTTCTATATAACTCAGTTGGAGTTATAACTTTTGTTATAATAAATTGAACAAAATCAAATATTTTTTGTGGTATTACATCTTCATATAATCCAGCTTCACTAATAACTAATAATGACCATAACATTTTAACTATAGACTCTTGTTTAAATGATCTAAATATAAATGCATGTTTATCAGGGAAAGAATTAAACATTAATAAATACTCTCCAATAAAATCAAGTGGAAATGAAATAAATAACATTTCCAATACTGAAACACAATTACTTTGTAAGATAAAAGAGTTGTTAGGATTTTCAGTTACATCGATTAATTCAAATATTGATTGAATAGTTATCCTTAGTGTTGAAGTAAGAAAATGTGGTTCATTATTTCTTTTTTCTTTATTACCTTTTACATCAGAAAAAACAGATACAACAAGCATTGGAATAAATAATACTGCATTTCCAATTTGTTGACCAGTACTTACTTGTTGTGTTTGCTGATTTGAAGTATCTTCAAATTGAGATTTATAGGGAAAAAGTTTTAATGAATATTCATAAAGTTTTTTTAAAATATCAAGTACTGGATTAAGTTCTTCTGATAATGTGTTTAAACAAATAGGTTTTGATATTGTATTTTGTGAAACAACATTAGAAATAGCTTGTATAAGTAATACTATAGAAGTTTTATATTCTGTTGATGGAATAAAATCAATAATTTCTTCAATCATTCTAAGAAAATGAGAACGATACATATGTTTTTCTTGACAAATTCCACTAATAATTGTTTGAAGAAATAAAGAAAATCTAGTAATACTTTGTTCAGGTTGAGTTATATCAGAAAGTCTAACTAATAATTTTACTAAAGAAAGTAAATGTAATTGTAATTTTGGAGAATGAGTAATCGATTCAGCAAATGAAAGTAATATAGTGTATTGAGTAGAAATACTAATACTTTTTATTATTTCATTTTCTTGATAAGAAGTAAAAATATTAATTAAAATATCTGTTGCAAGAGATTGATAATGAAATAACTGTGTTTTGTTCGAAGTGTTAATCAACTTTTTATTTCCTTTCATATATAACATAATAACACAAAATACTAATTCAAGAATATTTGATGGTTCTGACATTTTATCAAATGAATATTCAATTTTTTTATATTTTTCATTAAGAAACATTGGTATTTGAATTAGTTTTAATGTTTCAATAAATTTAGGATTAGAAGAAGCAAACATTGTATCAATAATATTTAATAGTGAAATTAAAAATGAATCATTAATTTCAAATCCATATAATTGTTTATTTCTTTCATCTTGTTGTGTTAATAGAATTGAAATAATTGGAGGAAGAATACGATCAAGTTTTTGTACATTCATTGACATTTGAAGAAAATCAAGAAAGAACGGGTCATGGTGTTGATGAATATAGTATTGTAAGAATAGTATTAAACCCTTATTAAAAACTGAAGTTTCAATATCATAAATTAACAAACTTGAATTTTTCCAAAATAACATATATTTTAATAAATCATCTTCATTTCCATCTTTTAATTTTTCTGTAATAAAATTATATGTTAATTGTTCATGTGAAGTACCAATTGTATGGAAAAATAATACAACATCAGTTAATACTGAATAATTATCTTCATCTAATGTTTTCCATAATACTTGATATAATTCGTAAATAAATGTTTCATCATCAAGTTGAAGTATATCCTTTTCTTCTTTTTTCCAAATATCATAATAACATTTTGCTGCTTTAATTCTTAAAATAGGGTGTGGATGTTCTGCAATAATTTTTTTTAACTCTTTTATCCATCCATTATTATTTAATTCTTTTTGTAATAACATTTGAATTCCTTCAATTCCTATTTCTTCTTCTTTTTCATTTTCTTCATTAGACTCTTCATTAATATTTTGTATTTGATATCTTTTAAATGGTGTTAATTTAGTGTGCAATGTTTTAATTATATCACAAAATTTAATAAACATATTAAGCTTTTTTTCTGGCATTGTAGTATCGATTTCAATATATTTTTTCATAAAAATTTCAAATACTTTATTTGCTTCAATAGTTATTTTTATTAATTGAATATCTTTTTCTTCATTCTCTTCAAATTCATCTTTTAAACAAAATTCTATTAAATCAAAACATTCTGCCAATTGATTTATTTGAACTCCAGACTCTATTAATCCTATCATTTTTTTCCAACAAATAAGTAAAACACTAATTCCAAATGCATCCATTTTTTTCATTTGTTCTTCATTTCCTTGATACGTTGTAAGAAATGCTAACGTTCTTTTAATTGCATAATCTTTTTCTTCATTACTCATTAAAGAAATTATGTATTCAAATAATACATCAATATCAACATTTTTTAAAAATTCAACAATTATATCAATATCTTTTCTTTTATTTATTTCTAATGCTTTTTGTAATAATGAAAGAATTGAACAAATTACATTTTTAAAAACTTGTTCTGCAATAGTTTGTTTACCTAATAATTCTTCATATATAGAAATAATGTTTTCAATTCCTTCTTTTGAAGCATAATTATATAATTCATTTAACGATATTTCTATAATTTTAGATGAATAATTATTAAAAAATGATATCATTTGACCTTTCTCAACATCTTGGTCTTTTGTATTTAATCCTAAAAGATAAAAATGAACTCTTCTTGTTAATCCACTATCTTTCTTTTCTAATAATATTAACATTCTTTCAACAATACTTATAAATTGTTCTTCATTAAATATTCCACTATTTAATTTTATTCTTGTACATAAAATATCTAACATGTCTCTTAATACTAATGATTTTTCATCACTAAATGTATTTAAAATACTATACAACATTAATTCTCTATTTGAAATTTGTTCTTCTTTTAATGGAGTATCAAGTCTAAGTAACATATATGTTAATAATGGTTTTCTACTTATACTATTTGAACGTAATATATCCCAACATAATTCCCAAAAATATTTCTCATTATCCTTTTTAATTTCATCAATAAGTTCAATTGTCTTGTCTTTAATTCCACTTGAATTTTCTTCCATACCAACTATAACAGAAATGATAAATGCTTTTTGAATATCTTTCATTTTTTTTATAACTGTTAATAAATATTTATTTATAATATCTAATATCTTCGTTCTAATATCTGTTGCTCCACTTCGTATTAATGGAAATAATCCTGGAGTAAAACACCATAAATCTTCTACTATTCTATCATCTCCTATTCTTTCAAATAACATAACAAATAATTCTAATACTTGCATATGAACTCCAGATGGAATTTGTGGATCTAACGCTTGTGCCATTCTTCTCATGAATGTTTGTTTAGCAGGAACAACAGGGAAGTTTTTATTATTTTTAATAAATTTAGTAAAACTTTGCATTACTTGAAGAATATCAGTCCAAACTTTACATTTTTCTATTTGGTTAAGTATCTTTTCAGCCTCTTCATTGAATTTTTGAAATTTATTCTTTTCTTTCTGTGTAGTAAGAAATGATAAGTCAATATCTTCGTTGATGTTTCTTCTCATAAAATGAACAACTAAATTATTTTAAGATGATAATAAAAAAATACTCTTTTTTTATGAAGTATTTTTTATATTATTTTTTAACAAATTTAAAATTTTAATGAGATTTTGGAGGAATGTATTTTTCTTTTGTTGCTTTTGTCCATTTAATAGTTTATTTTTATTATTCTTTTAAATAATTAAGAACAAAAAGAAAATAAAAAAAAATTTAAGCGAAATTTTATGGTTGAACATTACCTTCATCATCTGCTAATGGTTGTATTGCCTCTTCACTATACAAGTGGTTACCTTTCCTTTGGTGGATATATGCAACTACCTCAGAACTGATGATCAATACAAATAAAACAATAGCAATAACAAAATTATAGAAACCTCCTTTACTGATTCTAGCATATAGTAATAATAGTGCAACGATATTAGTAATTGTTGCACATAAGAAATAGAGAGATAGTGTGAAATGTCTTTGGTTAAAAGCTCTAACCCATTCATCTAATTTCCTAGGATGAGGTAATGAAAAGAATAGTGGAGAAAGTAGACCTATAATATACCATTTTGGTTGAATGGCAATACAAGTACATAGTGTAGATAACATTGTTATTTCACATAACTGAATATCATAAGAATAATTAGGGACTGTAAGACCACAAAGTCGCTTTAAGAAGAGAGATATTTGAATCACAAAAATGACTAATCCAATTGAGATAAAGAAATGAAAGATAAAGATGAAATGATAATAAAATCCACAGAGAGTTATAAAACAAATGACAGATGAAATAATAACAGAAAATTGAGTTGATAAATAATGAATATTAACAAGAGACTTATACACCATTATTGATAGTATTAATGGAAGTACTGTCAATACAATACAAAAGAAAGTTATTCGAGAATAATTTAAATAAACATCATTTACTTCAGAAGTTTCATCTTTTTTGAAAGAACTTACTTTATTAGACTCAACTGAAAGTGTTATATTATGTAATTAAAAAATAATAGAGAAGAATGACAAACTATAAAATATGACAAAACTAATAAATGAAACAAAACTAAGAATTACCGCATTGATAAAGTATGTAAAATATAGCGGAGTAGCTTTGTCTATTCGTTTTAATGAATTAATAATACTATCAAAATATAACTTGAATTTAGAACAACACAACATTTAACTTTAAAAGTTCTTTTTGTCTAAAAGTTTTAATAAATTAAAAGAAAAACTATAAAAAAATATAATTAATTTAATGAAGTAAATCTAATATTCTCTTTTTTCGACTATCCTTATTTGTTATTTGAATTCTTTTTATTTCTTCATCAATATCTAATTTATCTATTGGAACAAGATATTTGCAAGGGTCTTTTATTGTTGTTGACTTAATTGTGTCAATAAGCCATTGTTCAGACACGATTGGAATATTACTTATTCCACATTTTTCAACAACATCTTTTTTAATTTTACCAGACGAATAAACAACATATGACGTTAATGAACTAAACTCTTTATTTTCAATTTCTTTTGGAATATCAATTGTTGTTCCATAACAACAAATAACAATTCCTTTAATTGGTTGTTTTGCAACAGATGTATCAACTGGAATATGTTTTGTTTTTATTTCACCTTCATTAAATTTTTTTACTATTTGATGTGAAGGGGTAGTATCGTGATGATTTTTCTTTGTTTGATAATGACTATCTTTTTGATTAGTAGTACCCTCTTGAAAACTGTCTTCGTCATAAGCTATTTGTTCGTCATTTTTGTCTATAACAACATGAAGTTTTTTTGTATGTTTTCTGTTTGTCCTTGTTTTATATGTGTGATGAATTTGTTCATCTTTTTCAATTGACACTTCATTTTCTGCCAATTGAGGTTTTGTGACTTGTGCCTTAACTGCATGTTTCCTTTTAGGAGGCATTAAACTAGAAATTTAGATTTCAAGATATGAACAAGAAATAATCAACATAAAGAAAATACATTGAGATTATAAATAACAAAATATATGAAAGGATAGTAAAGAACTGTTTAGTTAGTTTTGGTATCTGGGAGTAAAGTATGTGTGAAGGTGCTGATGTGCAGCTTGATGATCAAAATGTTCATCAATCCATCCAAGAACATCAGTGTTTTCATTAGCAGCTCTAATATCAGTTTGTTGATCTAAAATGTCTAACATTACTCTTCTCTTATCCATCTCAAGTTTCTTTGCTGGTGGAATTTTTGGTTGACCCGCTCCTCCAAGACAACCCCCAACACATGCCATCATTTCAACTACATCAACTTTTAATTCTCCTTTTCTAATAAGGTCACAAGCATGTCTAATAGCAAAACCACCATGACAAACAGCACCTGTGATAATATTCCCACCAATATCAACAGAGACATTTGTCATTGTAGACCCACTTGCAGCATGTTTAAAAGTTTCTTCCTTTTTAACAGTACAAGTGCTCCAATCAACTCCAGCATTACGTGCAATTACTCTCAATACAGTCTCACAAACTCCTCCAGTCTTTCCAAAAATATTAGAACCACCAGAAATACGTCTAAATGGTAAATCACATTGACCATCTTCAGTTTTAGCAAGGACTTCTTCCCTTTCTTGAGTGAACTTACATTCTTCTGGTGGAAGATGTTTTTTGAAATAAGCGGCAATTTCATTTGAAGTGCATGAAGCGTCATAGTCTTGGTGAATTTGTTGTCTTTGGCACTCTGTTTTTTTAGCAATACATGGCATTATTCCGACTGTGTAAAGGTCTTCTACTGGAATTCCTACATCCTTTGCCCATCCTCTTTTAATACAACCAGCTAAACACCCAATTGGTGAACGGGCAGTAGAGACATTTGGAATTAAGTCAGGATATTCCTTTTCAACAAGTTCAATCCATGCGGGACAACATGAAGTAATAGCTGGCCCTTTCCCCTCTTTTTTCATTTCAATAACCTCAGCATAATCATCCATCGTTGTCTTATCAGCTCCAGCATCAACATCAAATACATAATCAAATCCAATAAGTCTTAAACAATGAACTAATTGTGCCATAGCAGTACTTCCAATTGGCATTCCCATGGCTTCAGCAACACCTAAACGAGTTGAAGGTGCAATCATAGCAACAAGTTTTTTTCCAGCTTTTTTAGCTTTAAAAGTGTCAGTAAGATGATCTATTGGTGTAATAGCACCAAAGTTACAAACTAAAGAACATTGACCACATCCAGTACATTCAGACTCATCAATAAGTACTCTAGTCTTATCATTATTTTCTTGAGAAAGTTTATCTCTATTAGGATGGATAAATGGTGGAATTTTTGGTGGTTGTTTTACTAATACTCCAAAGGTACATTTAGTAGCACATATTCCACAACCCATACACTTAGACCAATCAAATTGGATACTATGGTTATGATCATGACCAGTAACTGTATGTGATGGTTTAGGTGGCATTGTTCTTTAAGTTAGAATGAAAAGTTATCACTTCCTCATTTTATATAATTTCTTAAACAGAATCTATTTAAATTCAAACTTCTTTGTATTGCTTCTTTTTTGTTCTTCTTGTTATAGAACTAGTGATTTAACAAAACCAACAATTTATTTTGACTTCTAATTTCTTTGTTGAACTAACTTAAAGTGTTAAAAAAGTTTGTAGTTATCATATGATTGTAGGAATCTTAATAATTATTTTATCTGTTAGTTGTTGTAATTAAAGAATATCTAAAAATATAATTTCTATTTGTTTTATAGAAAAATAACAATTTCTTAAAAAAAAATAAAATTATGTTATATATTCCATTATTAGTTTGTTATTGAACAACTTCACACTTACCAGTTTCTATATTGTAGATCATTGAAACAATATTACATTGACCCTGTTTTATCAAAGGTTGTAATAATGGATTTGAACGAAGATATTCAGCATGTTGTATTGCACTTTGAATACAAGTAGAGCAAATGTCATTATTACATTTTTCAGCAATTGGAATAAGATCTGAAAGAATAGAAGAAAGCGCATTCTCTGAATGTGCACGTTGACATGCAGCAGTACATGCACCACAAGAGGTATGACTTAAAACAACGATGAGAGGAGTTTTTAAATGAGTTACACCATATTCTATTGACCCTAGTTCTGTTTGTCCAATAACACCACCAGCAGAACGAACAACAAAAATATCTCCAAAATTAACATTAAATAGGTATTCTGGAGGTGCTCTTGAATCGGAACAACAAATAACTGTAGCAATTGGTTCTTGTTTATTAATTAATTCTTTTCTTCGTTCCTCAAAATTGTATGTTATTGTTTTACCTTCAACAAATCGATTATTACCATCAAGTAAGAAAGTAAGAGCTTGTTGTGGTGTTAGTTGGGTCATAAGAAATATTTTCTTTTAGATGATTCAAAAAAATAGGTTAGATTAGATTATTAATAACGGATTTGTCTCTCTTTGATTGGTCATTTTCATTTTATTTTAATTTTTTTTATTTTTAGTTTTATTTTCTTTTTTTTTTTTTAATAATTCAACCATTCATTTATTTAAAAAAAATGTTCATTCCAAAAACTAAAAATACATTTTTTTAGATAAGTCCACAATTTATTTTATTCAAACAGAGAAAGATTGTTTCATTTTATTAATATTTTTTCTTTTTTATTTTTTACGTTTTGAATTTAATTTATTTTCAATATAAATTGATGCATTAATTTTTATTTTAATGTGACTAAATCTTCTTATTTTTGTCTCACTTTTTAAAAGGATAATTCCCCTTGTTTTTCTTTTTAAAAACATAAAAGAATTTTTTTTATTTTCAATGAACAGAAAACAAAAATACCTTGAATTTAATTGTAATTGATACCATTAATTATGAGCATTTAAAAATTTGACTCATTGTATTCTCAATTAGATGAAACAATAATAGAAATGAACAAAAAAGTAAATTTTAGGATGAATAATTTAATGAAACACCATTAGAAGGGCAAAAATAGAAAGCAAAACAGAAAAAACAATAAGAGAAGAATGATACTATTAACAATACAATAACATCAAACAATAAGACTTTTAATTGAAAAAAGGAGGCAAATAAGTAAATAACAAAAACAACAACCAAATTAGTTAAATAGTGAATGCTAGTAATGAGTTTAATAATTAACCAAATGAAGAACGTCAAATTGATTATCAGTTATTTATTATATTTTATATTTCCTCATTATTTATCTTCTATTTTATTTCATTTATTATTATTACTTAATTATTTAAACAAAAAGAAGAAGTAATTAATTATTTAAATATTATTAGTTGAAAGGAGATGGAAGTGGAGAAGGAATAGGATGTGAATATAACTAGAAATGGAAATATGAATGAGTAGAAAGGACGAAGGATAAATAAGAGATTAGTTCATCTTTCTCAACTCTTGCACATTTGAATAGCACAAATCATGGTTAACGCCGATAAAGATCCATGAAGCACTATTTGACAATAAACACTTTAGAATTACCATCTGCTGTATTGATCACCTCAGTTTTAATGCTCAAACTTTTCTTTTATTTATTTAGTTGAGTTCTTTTCTTTCTTTGAAATAAACACAACATTCCAAAATAATAAATAAGCACAAAAATAAGAAAACAAAATATAATCAACAATAAACGTCCAATCACAAAATAATAAATAATAGTAAACAAATAAAAAATGATAAACAATAAATAAAATAACATAAAAATAGAATACTAATATATAATCAATGAAAAATGAATGATATAAATAATTTAATTAATGACATTTTTTGTATATTCAATTTTTCATTGGTTTAAGAAGTTATTTTATTAAACTATTGTTATTACACCACTATTCTCTGTATAACAGAATATTGTGTTGTTATTTGTGTGATTATTTGAATTTAATATAATAAAAATAAAATATTATTACTTTAAGTATTAGTCAGTTAATTTTTCAACAACAAATAGTAATCCATGAGAAAGTGTTTTGGTGAACGTAAATTATTAAATTCAATTACTACAACAACAACAGTTAGTTAGAAGTTGGTGTTTTTAATAACTATGACTGTGAAGAAGAATTAAAATAATGATGAAGTTATATCAAAAGAATATTTTAAAAAATAACAAAATTATAAAACATAAGACGAAGTTAACATAAATGAAATAGATTATCTTTAAATATGAGACGAAGTAAGTTATATTAAATAGTCATTATATTAATATTTTTTTTATATCCTATTTATTATTTTATATATTTTTCATTATTATATTTGCTTATTTATAACCTTTTTATTATTGAGTATTTTGTTATAATAATAAACTGTTTTATATTTCATTTAATATGAATCATTATTTAATTATTTATAAATCACTCAATATTATATTATTATAAATAAATTATAAAGATATGTAATTTACTGTATTCATTAGTTTATAACTAAATTAAATAATTTCTTTAATTGTCATTTATTAAAGAGTTGCTTAAATATTACAATAATTATTCAATTAATATATTATTTAAAAAAGAAGAATAAGAAAATATATTCAAGAATTAAGTTAGTATAAATAAATTATCATTAATATTTAATATTATCCTTAGTATTATTAAAAGATAAGAAAAGAAGATAAATCAATTTTTTAAATAAAAAAAATAATTAAAGAAATTGAATTAATGGATTTAATAAATGAAGTGTTAATTGTAAATTACCAATCATTATTTCATTGATATCGAATGTTTTTATAAATATTGAAATATTGATTGATATTATTAAATGAATTGGTTATTACTTAATATCAATTCCTATTTTATATAATATAATGTCAAAATTAAAATGATATATAATGAATTAATAATGATAATTCAATTGGTAATAATTATATTGTTCTATCATTTTTTAATTCTATTAATTTAACTTATTTTTTTAATGTTAATAATAAAGAAAAAATAAATAGAATGTAACACAGAAAATATGGTTATTAAGACAATCAAAAAGTAGAATGATGATGTCTATTTATGATAATAATTAATACACTTAATTAATTGTTTACTCTATCATATATTCATTATTTCTACTATATTATAATTCTAAATGAACATAACTTATAAAAATAAGTTTGAAACAAATAAATTCATATTTTAATATAATTAATTTTTATTACATAATATAAAATAAAGAATAAAATAATTAAAAAATAAATAAATAACAACAAACAATGATTAACCTATAACAGTCATTCTTTTGATTAATGTGAATATAAGATTCAATTCTTATAGAGGAATAATAAAAAACTAACTTGTACTTCACTTGTTAATAAATCAACTTACTACAATATGTTCTTAGTTGTTATTTATTGTATTGTAATTGTCTATGCTCTTCCTCCAGTGCTTTCCTTCTTAATAAAAGAAACAAGTGTTTTCTCATCAGAAACAAAAATAATCTAAATTTTGTTGTAAATATATTAATTAAAATAAAAAAATTTTCTAAAGAAAATACTTAGAACTTATAATTCTGATAATGAATCAGACAGGAATAATTGAGAATAGTAAAAGATTCATTAACGAATATAAATTAGACATTGGATTATATCTTATTTTAATAGTAATTAATAATTTCGTTGGATTCATTCCAACTCATCAAGAAGTTCCTTATAAAGAAGACCCAAATTATATGTTTTCAAAACGTAATGATATTATTCCAAGAACAATGAATGTTATTATTAATTTTTATATTCCAATTTGTATCATTGCAATGATATCTATCTATAAAAAGAATATAGAAAGAGGGTTAACAATGCTCATTCCATTTCTAAATAGTGAGGTAATTGTTGGAATTATTACCCAATTATTAAAACGATATTCCGGAAAGCCAAGACCATTTTATAATACATATTGTATTGAACATTATAAACCAAGTTGTAATCATAGTTTTCCATCTGGCCATACTGCATATGCTT